TCAAAGGCCCGTCACTACACTGAACACACTAAATTGATGCACTGCTTCAGAGTGCTTCGTTCATTTCTTTCCGCATCACATCTCCCAAGTCACCAGAAAGAAGTGGCCGTTTTAATCCATCTGGAGCTTCTGAAGGCGATTGTCAAGAACTTGTCCCACGAAAAGAACATAGTTTGCGTCACAACCTGGAAACAGCAATCCCAGCATTCTGCACCTTTTCCTGCCATCCCTTGGCACGCTTGAGCACCTGCCAATGAGCAATGCTTGGTGGTTGGCTGCTCAAAATAGGTTCACCCTACTGACCTGCCATCGCTGTGGAGTCTATAGAGTCATTTCCTCCGTCTATACAAATAATTTACTTAACTACTCACACAGCACATCTATATATGTCTATATATATATATTGTTTGTGAGCCCCCGTTGGCAATGCTTACCTGCCATCGATCATGACCCAGTTAAACGATCTCCGGAAGACCGACGGGTCAGGTCTTCCGCCGTCCCCATGTCGGCTCGTCGGCCCCTCACCTCGGCATTCTCGGACTCTTTCCAAAAGGACTTGAACTTGGCCATCTCCATCTTTTGTGAGAGGTTCATCACCTGCGCAGTTTTGTTTTCTTGCGGTGAGTCGGTGAGTCGGTGAGGTGAGGCCCCTCTTTCTTTCTCCGGTCTCCCCCGGCGGGTTCAAGACACCATCTCTTTTTTCAGAGGTTATATTATATCGATATATATATATATACCTAGAACCAGGTCGTGACCTCTATTTTGGACCACCAACCACCAACCAATAGTGTCTTTTCCAAAACAGAGGTCATGTCTGGGTTCTAGGTATATCATCACATCACTTCTTCATGCAATGAGTCGAGGTCCGGTCGAAGAGATACATCGATCCTCGATTCGCCCGTGCGCCCGTGCGCGCTAGCGAGTGAGCTGGCTCAACATCCCAAACCTCGGCGCTAGAGCTAAAAAGCATGGTCTCCAACTGTTTTGGGGGTCCGGGCAGTCTTCAGATCCGCATGGTACCTGCTGCGGAGATCGGCGCGGCACGCGGAAGCTGATGCGGACATCGGGGTTCCCATGGTGGTTTGGAAGATCGATTCCAAGGAGAGGCGTGAACTCGTGCCTCGAGTTAGTGTGATCGGTTCCAGTGCAGTCTGAGACAAGCGTATAGTGCAGTTGTAGCCTAAGCCCCGTCTCAGCAAATCTTGCATTTCAGGCCAGGCACAAGGCATGATTGTTATACATCTCACTGTAACCAATGGGTAGAATATGGTAGTGCACAATTCATGCCCAATGCGTTGAGAAGTGCTCCAATCGTTGTGGATTGTTACGGAGAATCAGTGAGGTTGCGACTCATTGCCCAGACACTCCATGTATGGCATATATATATATATATGCCTACATTGGGGTGGTTTTGGGGGTCAATGTAGGCATATATATTCCATACATGGAGTGTATGGGTTGAGTTGTACTCTAAACTTTGTTTCACGGGTTGAAATGGTTGTACTCTCTACAGGCTTGCTCTGTCGCAAGACTAAACGACGGCGATGATGGTGATGATGTTCAATAAGCGCCTCACAATAGCCTTTATGACCAAACCAACAAAAACAGGTTGTGCTACTGTTACACCATGAACCTCCAAGCCCCATACTTAAGGCCAATACTCATTCAAATTTAAGGTGTATTGCTTGTTATTTTTGCCGTACAATGAATCACATGAATTGCAGTGTACGGATTCTGGATTCGACACCTCTTCAATGCAAAGGACTTTATATAGAACTTTACTCAGATATCCAACCAAGCATGGAATTCGGATGACTTCGGAATGGTTTGGTCGCACGCGACAGATGTCTCGTCATGACATGGTCACACTTTCCCGCATGAGCCAGCTCGGTATGTGGGTCTGTGGTGAGGGTCGCAGGAAAAGCCCTCAGTAAGTCGCGAACCTGCCCCCTTAGCAGGGAATGGCCATGAACAAGCTTCTGGCCGACTACAAGCAAACTGCTAGATACGTGTGCTAGCAGTACGGCTGCACTTGATTGTCATCAGGGTGTCAAATCAAAAGTAGGATTCTGCCTGCTCAACAAAAAAACAACCTGCCTGCAAAGGCGTTGTTTCTACTCTTGGCTGTGTTTCAGTGAAGCCCTTGAATGTCTTCTTTACCTGGAGTGCAGCATGATGTATTGCCATGTATTGCCACAACACCGTGGCCTGTCAAGTTGTTTCGACCTAAGCACTTCTCGTCTTCAGATGCCTCGATGATGTGAACCCAATCGACGGATTGACTTCAGCTGGTGATTGCTTTCTCCAACTGTCACCTTTTGGGAGTATGTTGTGTTCGCAAAAACACCTGACCTCACACCTGAATCACCTTAGCCTGGCTGGTTTTTCATGTTTTTTTCCGACCGGTGTTTCCTTTTTGGAGACGGTGACTTCGTGGACTCTCTGCGGGAGGCGGTGACTTCGCTGCATGCGGAGAGTCCGATCGGTGACTGAAACGGCTGAAGTCTGTAGCCCCCAAAACCCAACCGCTACCAGCACCCTGGCCAGGTGCTTCCTGGTGAGGCTGCCCAGGTTCACCTGTGGGAGATCTAGCCGAACCGACCGGAGGGTCCTGATGATCGGATTTTCGGACCTTCTCAGGGAGGACGGACGACTGGATCCCGGAACCTGCAGGCGAGTCGACCGGAGGTTTTGGACGTCCCGGACCTTCAGAGGGTCTGAGAAGGGTCAGGCGGTCCCTACCTTCAATGGTCAAGAATGGTGCCGGACATCCCCGATTCGGAGGCTGGACCGTTAGACCGAGGCTCACTCCCATAGAATGACCTGCCGTCCAAGTGACACCCCATACGTGCCAGACGAGCGACTGGGTCAGGGAATGACCCTTCCCTCCTGATTCCCCTCGGGAAGTTCGCTTCGACCTCCTTCGATTCTTTCCAACGTTGGAGTGGTTCAGGACCGCCAACGTTGCACCGGTCACACCAGTGAAATTGTTTTGGTTTCAACTGCAAAAAGCATATATAGTATCTATAGAGGATTCCAAGAACGACAGGACACCCGAGCGCTGTGCGGATTTGGCACTAATATAATGAGCAAGGTGCTTCAAGGTGCTTCTGGCATCTTATGGACTCTACAGTTCTAGCCAGGTCTTACCAGATATAAGTTCTCGAAGACATCTTCAAGGCATCTGTTACCTCTCCAGGTGAAGGGCATCGCGCGGAGGGGATCTGCACCCGGTTTTCCTCCTTTCAGGAGGCCATGGCGACCCCAGTCTCCGGCGGGAAGTCGGTGCCCGGCGGCGGGAAGTCGGAGCCCAGCGGGAACTGCTTTCGTTCTTCGTTGCTGTCGGATCTATAAGGGACCCCTTTGGAATGCGTGTTTAACTGACATGGTGAGTTGGGGCAGCCAGATCCCTCGGGAAGCTTGAGGAAGCTTGATGATGGAGGATATGTAGGGAGGATATGTAGGGAGGATACTAGGGAGGATATGAGAGGATGATGATGACCCACCTTCGAAAGGGCTTTCGAGTACTAAGGCTGTCTTTCAAGCGACTGATGCACAAGCCACATGCCACATGCGACCGGACCGTATTTTTGCTTCAGAAAGCAGCACTATCTCTGGGAGATTCCGACATTCAGATTTCTGTACCAGCACAATTCTCAGTTTTTGGTTCAGCGACGAAAGAGAAGGACTTTGATCCCAGAAACGAGGCTGACCGAGATGACATCCCAGTGGAACGTCGAAAATTAACTTGATCAAAAGCGCATTCAGAAATGAAACCAAATGAAACCAGCGTTTTGCGATGATTGCTCAAGGTCCAGCGCTGTCTTCTTTCATACTCCAAAACCAGGCTCGAGCCTTCACATCAATCCAAATCCACTAAGAACACGCCAACAGGTCCACTGGAGATGCCCGAAGCGAGGGTGGCGCAGAGCTGTCCGGTGCGCTAATAGCTGTCCGACAGAAGACGGGGGAGTTGGCACAATGGACGGGTGTAGCGGCATAGCGGCCCCCCCAACAAAAAGCTTAAAACAGCAACATGGATCAACATGGAAATGTGTCCCTATGGAAAGAAAGCCGAAGCATGAAATGTTTCCCTTGATGTAGTATAGTAGGTTATTAATTTATATGCACCAAATGGTATGCTGTGTGCTCCTTCCCTTCCTTTGCACGACGATCTACGTCTTCTTCAAACACAATAAGAGGGTTTCTCAGCTAGAGCATGTCCGGATGCTTGACCTTGCAAATATATTGAGTGTCTGATAGTGTCTGTATATATGAACCTTGCAAACATAATATGAACCTTACAAATATAACCAGCGTCTCTATATGAACATATATGAACCTTTATAGGAATCTGCCACTGCCTGAATTTATATAATCCCTGAGGCCATGCAGCATGCCAAGCTCGCTGAGTGATTCGGACTAGAATATTCCAAGCTCGTTGAGGATTCGTGAGGAACAAGCTGGCTTGGCTTCACGATTTGGTGGGTACAAGTTGTCCTGTCAGTTTGTAGAGGAAAAGTATCTTTCCAGGGGCCATGTTCCACTTCCAATTGTTTCGGGGAGGGTACATGGACATGCATACAACCCAACTGGCCCACGGATGCCCACGGTTGGTATGAAGGAACATGGTCGATCGAAGTTAAACGGGATCGTTTTTGTTGCTCTGGCGAACGAACCAAACATGTCAGAACTCCTCTGGAGCAGTCACCGGGAACAAGCTCTGCATGGAAGAGACACGGCGAGCTCGTGTAGTCTTAGACATCCCCATCCACGAGTCATTGTCATCTTCAAGGTCATCTCCATCGTTTACATGAGGAGTTTCTCCCCTCAAAAAAGATTCATCTGCCAGGACCCTCCAAGGGTGTCCAATGAACTACCCCACTACCTATAGGCTTCCAGACAGGGCACCCTACCTATAGGGTCCTGGTGGCTTACAGTCCATGTTAGTTCTGGACATCCTGGTGGCTTCGAAGTTCGATGTGTTGAGAAGCATTTCAGATCAAAGCGGCTTCGAACCCGTTGGATGAGGATGGGAGCGGGGCGGCGGCCTCCGGCGTGAAAGAAAGAAATCGCTGCACAAGCAAACAGCGAACCCGTTTCTGACTTACGCTCCGGGTCGCTAACATGAAAATGGATGGCACCACCTGTTTGGTGTGAAAAAACATCATGTTTATCTAACGGGCCATGCCATCCACGTAACCACCATGATTGTTCCAGGAAGTGTACCTGGTTTGTAGGGCGACCCTTGGCACGTCCAAAGTCCCCCGGCCGTATCTCACTGGGCAGTCCCTCGCAAAAGCGAGCCACCTCTGACCTCTCCGCGGCAACGGGGTGCAGGGTAGCACCATCAATGCACGACGCATGTGAAGGCTGCCGCTCATCGACACAACAACCAAAACGCACTCCTCAGACCCCTGTTCGAGCTGCTGAAGGCGCAAGGAGCTGACTTCCCCAAGAGCCAAAACTAAACCTCGAGCTGAAACTAAACTTCTCAGATCGCTCAGAACCTTAGTGGGCCAAACTCTCTGTGATGGTCATGCATGGGGTGATCTGTCCAACGTTTTGCATCCTTTTGGCCAGTCAGGGGATGGGTTTGAAATCGTCCTTATAAAGTCTCCCGGAGTCTCAACGTGTGCAGCAAAACGGGCCAGAAAAGCATTCTGTTGAAGGGCTGGTATGGCCTAAAGTGGAAGACCCAGGCAACAAATTGCTTCCCATACCAAGACCAAGACTACCAGCCGTCCCCCCAAAATACCGAAGAATTAGCATGTTCATGTTCCCTGCCAGATGTTCTAGGATTAGACATGTTTCCCTGCGCCCAGCGTGCCCCCGACACAAATCCGTACCAAGACACAGGGGGAGACGCCGTTGGCCACGCGCTGCGCCCAGCGAGGAAGCCAAGACGGGAAGCCCTGCGCCCAGCGCTGCCGCTTCTGGCAGACCAGCTCCTGGAAGCCATCAGGGTTCCTGACGCGGCACTGAGACGCAGACGCCTTTCCACTCCCATCCCAGCCAGCCACCAGCGCTGCCGCGTACGAATGGCTGAAACCCCTTAATAGGTTGAATGACCGCAAAAGGAATGGCCCGACGAGAATCGGCCAAGAAATCGGGAACCTTGAAACCTTCACAAGGGGGCAAGGCGCAAAAAAAAGTCTTCGAATTAAAACGTGGAACCTTGTGGAACCTCGTGGAACCAGGTATTTTCTATAGGTCGGTGTCAGTCTTGGGCATCGGTGACCAACAACCTCGTGCGGAGGAGGGCGGGAGCGGTCGGTTTCTAGGTCGGGTTCATTTGAAAAAGAAACGAACTCGATCATTACGAAACCATGCAGGAATAGCATGGCTCATACGGGTGAAACAAAATGAATGGGAAGAACCCCAATCAACATCACCCAATGGGTAGATTGGTCTCTTTCATCTCTTTCCCGTCTTCGGGTCGGAAATCCGCCTGGCAGGTCGGAGGTTACACACCCAGGTCACCCCCCCATGTCCCCCTAAGATGTCTGACAGAAAGGCCCAAGATGCATCCAGATCTGCCCATTGCAGGCATATCTTTTTGTTGCCCGTTTGCAGTCAGTGACCAAAAAGAAACCGCTGGCCAGTCCAGGGTGGTCCAAAGTGATCCTCATCGGACCCTCATTGGGGCCCTTCCTTGGGCTGCTTCACCCCCCGTACCATCTGAAAGGTTACACACCCAAACACTCCGATCTGTGCGCCATAGGATTGCCGTGATTTGGGGTTGAATGGGGTGGCAGTCCTATGCCAGTCCCATGGAGTGTTTGGGACATATCCCTGGATTGTCCAACGGTGCCGAATGGCCTTTTCATCAAACCAGCCCATGGATGAAAGGCTTGGCAGAAGATCCAGGTATGTCTAGAACACGTCGCCTGAAACACATCGTATCACCTCATGCTAATTAACCTGAACCCTAGGGCTCCAAGTACCTCCTCAGAAGGTATTTGGACCTTCTAAACCCTCCCCAAACACCTTCTACTTGGAGCCCTAGGGGAAAAAAGAAACAACACTTTCTGGAGATCGCTCCGCAAAAAGGCCAAGCATCTTCTGAACATCTGTCAGGAACGCATTCCGATAGCAGGCAAACTCCTGAGGCAAGAAAGGCAGCCGGACACTTCAGAGCTGACGAACGGGATGCAAACAAGACATACCTATATCGAAACCGCGGGTACATACCTAGATCTTCAAACTATGCAACATGTCTGCCTTGTGGCAAGTACCGTAGATGAAAAGGCAAACATCTTGCACAGTTGGAAGATCTATCCCAGATCTTCATGTGTCCAAGAATTCTTGGTCGATGCTAATTAACCTATATTTTTCTAGACGTTTTCGCAAGAAGTATATACGTTTTGATCGATTCAAAGAGAAACGGGGTAAGATCTATCCAACATGTTAACGTTGACCTACCCCGTCTTCTTTCTGGGTTTGAAACGACCATGCCCAAGTCGACCCTGCCTCTAAGTAGTGGTGTGACTCATGAACTACAGGTGCACTGGAACCAGCTTACGCAGCTTAACCGGCTTAACCCTATGTTCGCATTCTGGGCACTCTGTACCACAAAGGCACTCTGGAATTGGCTACACTCTATGAATGTTATCTTCATATCCCCTCGGGGATTGTACAAATTGCACAATCTCTGACAAAACCAGTCGTTTTGGTCAAGGTCGATTCTTTCTAATTCTAGGGGGGTTGCGAAAAAGTAGTCAACCACCAAACTACCGAGCAGAACGAATGGAGATGTAATGTATATAGACATATGGACAAACACAAAGCATTACAAAACCGACTTTCAGCTTTCAGGCAGGTGCACCCTAATAGCATTTGTCCCTTTCCAACTATTCCTCTTTTGCACGCTTTTCGCCCAACAAAGCGGTGTCGTCAAAATATGTCCAAATGTGTGATGCAAGTCCCATCATGATGAACTCAAGGAAGAAACACGCCAATGTTGGATCCTCACTTTAAGCGAGAAAACTCATGAAGAATAGTCCCGACGTCACACGATCTTAGCTGCATGGAGCACCGTTCATGACCTATTTACTCCGTACTTTACTTCGTTGCTTATTTTCGCTTCAACAGAAACTCATGGGCCTCATGGGTGTCGATCCAGGTGTGAAGAATCCGCCCTTGCCACCCAGCCCCACGGAAACGCCCAAAACCCAACGTGTCGCTTCGCAACTCGTTCTTTTGGAAGACGGTCGTCCATTCGGTCGGCCATTCGGTCAGGTCGGCCTCATTGAACCAGCGATTGGGCTGGGCCAGCTTCTCCTTTCGGTCATAGTTGGTCCAGGAGTCGAAGGACTTGCGAGAAGGCAAGTCATCCTGGACTCGAAGAGATGTCGGTGTCGGTACGTCTTCATACGTCTTCGGTCTCCAAAGGAGTACCCCCTTGTTTGCACGCGTTATACTTGTTTGCAGATGTTACGGTCCACACGATTGAAACGTTTCAAAATGTTTCAAAGAAATCAAACTTCAAACAGGCACAGACCTCTTCGACCATGAAACGATCCTTTTCTCTCTCCACATGGGACAAGAGAGACCAAATACATAGCGGCTGCAGCTGTCATTGTTCACGGTGTCCAACGGGTGTTATTCTCTCTTTCATCTTGAATCTTGAAGATGTTCCGTGAAAAAAGGGGGCTGGAGGGAAAGACAGCCAGGTCCCAGGTGATGCATGTCCGCACGCCAGGCCAGTAGAGATCTCATTTGGAGTCGGTCGGATAGGTGAGTCACTCCGAAAAAGTGAGTCACTCAACCTGAACATGCTTGGATTCCAGAAAGAACTGGGTAGAATCTTCCAACCGCTCTGACATGCTCTGACTGATTCCTTCTGGGACTGCGAGGAAATATCTTAATGCAATGGTGACCTGGTTCCCTAAGAATTATTGATTTTGGTGCGAATGCTATGATTTAAGAAGTAGGAAAATAGCTCCATGTCATCCTTCCAATCATCACCTCCTTCGCCCCCAAACACACACACACACACACACCCATTCGCCCCGGAGCAAGCACGGCGCGGGGTCCCGGGGTCTCCCGCCAGCCTCGAGAGGATCCCGATCCGCTGGCACTTCTCTCCCCTGAAGAAGACGCGAACGGCTGTGTGGAGCGTGCGGACGTGGGAGCCGGCGGGTCGGGTCCGGTTTCGGAGGGTCGGCGTCGCCCGCGTCGACCGGTTGAGTCGAGGGATGCGAGAGTCGATTGATCAACCCAGCCGAATTGGACATCCTCTTTCTGCCTGGGGGTCTTAAAGGGTCTTATTAATCAAGAGTCTAACAGTGGACTCCATCATCGAGCTGGATCTCTCTGAGATCGAACCGATCGCGTGACGAAGAGAATTTTTGGATCTATCGTAGTGGGGCAGGGGCCCGGAAGGGGGTGGTGAAACAAAAAGCAAGCGCCCATCATTTCCACACGATGTACCATGCATGAGGTTTCACCCAAATGTGGGTAAATTGGTCATGGACCCAAACCACAGCCCTTGTAAAATGGATTTCATTAAACGAATATACAAATAACACGGAACCTACTTGGTAGAAAGAAAACCTGACTCAGTCTATCTGAAAGTCCTTCCCTTTCACCCAGATTTGGACCCGGCGATTTCCAAGATCATGACGTGCCTCGGGTCCGACCGGTAGGTTTTCTGACTGGCCATTGCTCTCCTTGGAGTCATCATTCGGAGAAAAGCGATCAGTTCCCCAAACACGACGAGTCTGTCTGGGACTGCCATGTCGGACTGCCGTTTCGAAACGGGTGTTTGGGGTGGTGTTTGCGGGGTCTGGCTTGATCGGCATATATAATTATGGCATACATGGAGTGTCTGGGATATACTGTATATGGATGATTTCTGGAGGGGTAATTACGTGATTGTATGCGTCTCACTTCAGGTCGGTGGGTTTGTGATGCTTTTTGTTCGAAGAGAGTGCAACGAGGTACGAATGAATCCCGACGTTGTTACAGTGGGATTGGATAAGATTCAAGGAACACATTGCCCTAGACCTCCTGTCCCTGTTGTGAGGAGTCAACTGGGCAAAATTCAAGGTGTTCAGGTCAACCAATGGTCATGTGCTCATGGGCACCGGTCACAATGGTCAATACCAGTGACGATCACGCCTTTTCTAGCGTCGACACCTTCCCTTTTATGACAATTCCGAACTCTGGGGCTGGCACGTTTATCTACATTGACGCCTCAACCCTCCCATGTAGGATAAATAGTATAAATGTATAGCCTACCCTGAGAATCAAAGACCCTCAAAACTGAAAGATCTGCTTCAGCCCCAAGGGTCCCATGGGGTCCACAAAGGCGGAGCGGAGGGTCCAATGGACTTGGCTACATGGATAGTTGGGACCTTGAATCGCCCGAAATAAGTTCACACACACCATCACACCCAAAGCCTTGCTGTTTTTAGGGCATGTTGTTCCTGCAAATTGGTGCTACCTGAACAGGACACAAAAGCACCAAGCGCCGCCAGCTGAACAAAACACAGATCATTTGAATCCCTAGGGATCCAAGTACCTTCTCAGAAGGTGATTGGAGACACTGTTATGTAGGTTTGGAGGGTCCAAGTACCTTCTCAGAAGGTACTGGGATCCCTAGGGAATATATTGGAACTCTTTCCATTTAGGTCTTGAAAAACCCTCGGGCCGTGCTTTCTCAGCTCCAAGAGGCTGGGAAAATGGGCATCGGCTCAGTCTCTTCCAGCTCCAGTGGCTGAGCGAAGGTCACATTGCCCAGCCTCATAGCCGGATAGCTGTCAGAGAGGGTTTTTGTGACCTGAACCGTCGGACCCGGCAGCTGTCACCTGGGGTACCCAACTGGGAGAGTTTTGCACGAACGAACGAACGAACGTTTGGGTTCTGAATCTTATAAGCTGTTTTGATCCAAGGTCGAGAGGTCTTTTCACGGGGGCCCTGGCCCAACTTGAGTTTTCACCAAAAAAAGCTCCTAGTAGCTTCTTGCTCCTAGTAGTACGGCCAGGAGCCCCTAGTAGCGTCCTTGCTCCTAGTAGCGATGCCAGGAGCTCCTAGTAACGTTCTTGCTCCTAGTAGCGTCCTATAGTAGGAGGCCAAGAGTCCGAAGCTGCGCTTGTTATGCTTCTTGCAATTAAAGTGTCTCAGGATGAGGTTATAAAATACGTTATTAACATCCAAGTCGGAATGCACGGGTGCAAACGGGATGGGTGCCTTGTCCAGGGTCTTTGTGGCTTGAATCAGGAGTCCATCGATGTTAGCAGCTTTCTTTTGAACATGAGCTTCATATTCATATGGAACCTTGGTTCGAGCTTTTTCGTTGCTTTCTTCTCGCAAAAGCTCTCAAACCCCTTACCCTTCACTCACCATGACTCATCCCTCACCGCGATCGAGTGGATGCAAAAAGCACTCCATCCAGAAGGACCAAGTTCACTCCATCCAAGGTACCCACATAGCTCCGTCACTCGACTACTCGATGGCTCGCCGGCGCATGCCATGGGACGGTCCGCGCGCCGGCGCGAGGTCCGAGCCAGAGCTAAAACGGAAACTGACACCGTAGATCATGCGAACACCGCATACCCATCATTACCCAGACACGACAAATGGGACTGCCATATATGCTGATCAGTTGGGGTGGTTTTGGGGGGTCAATGTAGGCATATATTCCATACATGGAGTGAATGGGCATCATTACCCATCATACCGCAGCCAAAACATCAACACTCTCGAGAGCCTCACGGCACGAGTCATGGTCATGTTTGCGAGCACATGGCAGTTAAAGAACCCATGACTTGTGACTTGGGTTCCAGTCGCGGTCCACATGACTTATTGAGGCACCAGTGGTGTGAACCATTGGCACGTCATTTGGTAGACCCCCGAGCCATTGGGGGGATATGCACATCTACACACCTTGGTGCGAAGCCACACTGAACGTTTTCATTTGTTTCATCTTCTCATCACTTCTTTCTCACTTTACAAGTTCTCCTCTATGACAATGATGTCCATAATTCCTATATATACTGCAGACACGACCCATGGGACTGCCATAGGACTGCCGATCAATTCACCCCCATAGCACCATCCCTGGCCTGATCGGCAGTCCTATGGCAGTGCCATGCGTCGTGTCTGGGATATATATATATATATATCGAGCTATTGCAATTGACATTTCAGGGTCCCAGATCTGTCCGTCCCCTTCCGATCAATATAATATATAAACAGGACCTTCACCTTCGCCAAAGCTGCTGACAGCTGTTCCCCCGATCCTATCCCACCCAAAAATACACCATCTGGCAACCAACTTTAGGTGATGGTGGATGCGCATGCGCCAGATCATAGATCCAGCCTGTTTGGAGACTTTCAGCTCTTATGAACGCACCGTTTCGCACGTGACACATCGTGACTTCACCGACCGTTTCGCCGTTTCGCCGTTTCGCGATCGCGGGCCGTGGCTCGCCGTCTTTTTCCCCGGAGGTGGAGATGGGTATGGCGGTCAGCACCAGCTATGTCTGACCCTGTCAGGCCTCCAGCCTGGCTTCAAGGATTGCGGTGTGAGAAGGTGCCGCAAGCTGAAGCAGCAAACGCAAAAGAGGCAGCATACCAAAAACAGGCGGAACTGCATGGTTCCTTGTAACACAAGGTGCCGGGAAACCACATTCTTGCAAACCAAAGGCTGCATGGTGACGCCAGGGCTTAAGTAACCTATCTTTTCCCTAACAAAATCACGAGGAGACAAAGAAATCCTGTCAAATCATGCGCCTGGTTCCACCATTTTCCACCTATCATTCATGTGCTGATGTCAAGAACATGTTCTATATGGATTCTCCCTCTCCAACCTGTCCAATGTTGATTTTTTGTTTTTCGAGGGGACACAAAGAACACATCACACAAGTAGCTCACAAGCCCGTTGAACTCCTCATCGTCCTCAGAGATCGATAAGAAACCGTCGGTCACAGGTGTTTGAGGCAACTAGGTCTTGCAGGTCTAAAAGGTCACCCATCGCATAGTGGGACGAGGCTTACTATCGGGGACGAGGGGTTCCCTCGTCCTCCTGGGTGGCATAGTTCTCAAGGAAACGTGACCAAAACTATCCTAGGAAGACAAAACAATACCCACTGATGTTGGGGACTTCGATGCCGCATCGATTTGCTGTGCTCCTCTGGTCGAATTCTTGGTGGAAGTGCCAGACGCTTGAACGAAAGCCCACCAGAAAAAAAGTTAAAATACCGCAGATTTGCTGATCAATGCTGATCATGAATCAAGGAAAGGATAAGAAAGGGTTGGAGGCCATCGCTATTAGGGTGGAGGTCATCGCTATATTAGGTTGGAGGCCATCGCTCTTATGTTGGAGGCCATCATCGCTAATACGGTGGACTAGCAAGAGTACTGTTGTGACACCATGGAGAACACCTGAAACTGCAATTCGTTGGCCTATGCCAATTGTCACTGTCCCATACATGGCCTGCGGATCAGTTGATGGTTTCAACCACTTAGTTGAATGAGAAGCATGTTTCAATACATGGTTCACTGTTGTGAGTTGATCAGCACATCTCCCTGGGGTCCAGGATGACCTTGGCTCAACAGGCCTGGATGCACAACGCTCCGCCATGGGACACGACAACTTGGCTGAACAATGCTTCTAGTAGCGATGCCAGGAGCCCCGAACGTAGCTTCTTGTTCCTAGTAATCAACTGATCATTGACTGATCATCAATACTTATCAGCATCAGTGTCATCTCCGTGTCATCATCCCCATGGATGAAAATGACAACATGTATATCGATCGCTGTCCATCTGGGTGAAAATAGATTCGATCAGGTCAGCTACTAGTACATCTGGTCCTTGAATCTATCCCAAGCAGAAGCCTTTGTGAACTCCACGACCAGGAGTCCCTTTTCAATCAAAACCTCGGTCACCAGTCCCGACTCTACACATCACACAAACGACACTCGCAGCCTCATTTTGGCCACGGATCCCAAAAACACCTGCAAGGAAGACATGACATGTGACATGACCATGTTTTTTTCTTTCTTTCTTTCTCTCTATTACGTAGCTTCTTGTTACTAGTATTATTACTAGCGATGGCCAGGACTCCACCCTAATAGCGATGGCCTCCACCGTGCTTTCTGCGTCCTGGCTTTCTTTGTTTTGGATATTCCAAGACGGTTGTGTTGAGTGGAGTCTGCCTCTCGACGATTCTCCTGAACCCCATTGGCCACTTAAGTATCATGTCATCCGGATAGTCCATAACTGCTGTTATTGAAAATCCCAAATGTCATATCTGCACCAAGTATAGAGGTTTAGACCATTTTAAACCCTTTAGTGGCTTTGAAGTCAATCCCACCAGAACTAAGTGTCTATAGAAGGACTGTCAATACCTCTCTGGGCTAAATTGTTGATTCCATCCGATCTGCTCTCATGTGACAACGACTGAACCGCCAAATCCCTTTCTTTGGTCAATAATATCTTTAAAACAAAACAACATGTTCAATCAGTTTATAACGAAATCACTATTGGGCTAACAAGCAAACGATAACTAACAAAGATTCCAGGGGGGCGTCCGCCCACACAGTCGATACGTCGATACGTTGTTGCACAGGTCGTTGGACTGTCGCTGCGTGAAGGGCCACAGGAAGAATCGATCGCGAGATGTGCCGCATTTCTCTCCAGCGGCGATGTGCCGCTTCTTAACTCCCCTGCAGCTAAGAAACTGTAGCTCCCTTCTTTTCAGTGTGGAATTTCACAGTTTCTGCATGTACTTGTTTCAGTTTTTCTTCCCAACACGCTCTTTTTCATTCTTGTTCAATCGTTTTCATGCCGGACTGTCTCGACTTTTCACATTCGACACGTCTCCCTTGCAGGTCTCTCTCCAGAACGAAGACGTCGCTTCGGCGCCGCGGCGAACCCAAGTCTCGGCTCGGGTCTCAGTCGTCTACGTCGCTGCATGTCGGTGCGAAACGGGTCGAACGAGGTCGCCTGTCAAAGCCTTGAATAGTTAAAGATCACAAAGTTTTTCAGCTAGTACTATTGCTAGTATTACCTAGTTCTTTTGGGGGACCGGAAAAATCAACAGGAATTCCATGGAATTCCCCCCTGGAGGAGACTGTATTAGCATTTATTAGTTAGAGCGTTGAGATGCACTAAACTTCATCAACCTTCCTGCAAAGCATTCTCAATTTCAGCTTCTTGCACACGGGGCCTAGATGAGCTTGGCTTTCCTTCTAAGCGGCATAGCTCGGCCTCTGACCGGATTTCTCTTCAAACACAGATCATTCTTGGCTGGTCGCTTTCAGTCTGAATTGACCTGACCTAAGCCCACAAACTGCAAAGAACTTACGCATGCACAATTGATATTTTTCACCCGAAACAGACATGGAATGCTACTTTCCTCAAACAAGAACTGACCTGGCTAAGGGTGGTGACTAGTGACTAAGGTTTTCACACGTACGTGATAAAGTCTTCAAATCCGTTCCAAACCGTGCGTGTTTCACATCGAGGCCCTCCCCTCAGGATTGCAGCTGTCGCCACGAAGCATTGAGTCTGCTCAGGAGAGCAAACGTCATTTCGTTAGGCTGGAGATTCAAAACAAGCCGTATCTATGGCTTGATGTGAGCCCACGCACGCAATGTGGTTGGTGTCCCCCGAACAAACTCACAGGCTGTCTGGCTATCCGCTGGAAAAAACTGGATCAAACTGACGTTTCAAGCTCCCAACAACAATGGATTGGGCACCTGTTGATTGCATGGCTTGATAGATTGTAGGAACCTGTCACTTGCAAGCATAGACATTATGTAGGATAAGGTCAAGAAACTTCACCCATGGATCTCTCAACTTCCTAGCCTCCATCTTAGTCCTTTCCGCTCAGGACGTGGCATATCGTAAAAAGCAAACAAGACACCTCTGGCCCTGCGGTGGCTTCAAATCAATGCCTTCACGGCTCCGGCTCGGATGGCTCTGCATGTGGACCCTTGGGTTGGCCATGGTGATCTGAAGGAGAAATCCTCTGGAAACCGATGTCCATCAGCAGTAGGTGTCTGCTGCACTGCTTTTTCCCCCGGTCTGAAGGAGGGCAGCAAGAAGAAAAAGAACTTTCACACAGGTCCAACATGGTCCAAACCCACACACTCGATGATTTACTGCTGTTTTTCTCCAATGGACAGCAGGTTAGGAACAGGATGAAACAGGTGTCTGATACCCCGGAAAAAGCATGTTGGTTGCTTTGAGCCCAAACAGCGAACTCAAAGACTCCAGTTATTATATACGCCCAATGACTGCTCAAGAGTTGTACTTCTACTTGCTCCCAAACTGAAAATGTGAATCCTTAAACAACCTGCAACTGTTTCCTTCAGTCAGAGCCTCTTGCTGCCGTTCGTGTATCGCAATTGTTCATAACTGTTCTGGTACAAGCACCAAATATGTCTAGCATCGAAAAAATCACAGGCTGCAAACAATGATGCCGAACCATTTGCAAATCTTATAAGTACATGGTCTTGAAAAAGAGTCAAACATTACGATTACTGTATTCCACACTGCGACAAGAGTTCTTGCAACTCTCATACTCCTGAAAACTCTGCTGGGGCGGCCTTTTGCAAG